TTAAGCCGGGTATTCATCTGAGCACGAATGCGAACGAGGCAAGGCGAGTCCGAACAAATGCCTCGTTTTGTCTCGTTTGTAAAATTTTTCTTCGCGAACGAAGTCTGCCGAGGCAACGAACGAGACAGTGATCCACAGCGAACGCAGTGAACGATGATCCAGCGAGATAGGCAAGGTACGTGGAACGTACACGAATGCCGTCCATACGTAACCAAATTTTTCTTTGAAGTACCGACTCCGATCGGCTCGGGTCCCGAATGCCTCAGTCTGTGCGGCGAACAGCCGAATGCAGTTTGCCGCGCCTCGGTTGCACGTCCACATACATATGTATGCTCGTTCGGCCTCGCCTTGCCTCGTTCGCATTCGTGCTCAGATGAATACCCGGCTTTAGGTACTGGAAATTATTTGAAATGCCACCCAAAAAATCAAATATTGGCAGAACAACCAGACATGTACGTAAAGTGTGAGCCAGTAGAGCTGCTGAATGGGGGGAGGGTAGGGCAGAGGTGAGAGGGTGGGGTTGACGAGGTGCAAATGGCGTGCAGGAGGCACACCGAGTGTAGCTAGTTTGGTATAAGTTTGTACAAATTGAAAGCTTACTTTTCAATAGACATACATACTTTATATGTCCTACATTATCTTTCTATATACAACTAAGAAAGTAAGAAGGTAATGTTATATTTAACAGTACCATATATGACATAAAACTTGTAACATTGATAACAGCATTTTAAATTTTGCTGTATTCCAGTCTGTACTAGAGTTGGAATCGGGAAGAGTTTTCTGACCAGAGATACAGTTAACGTCCTAGGATGACTTTAATACTCGGCTTATTAATTACCGCGGCGGTATGTGTGGAAACATTCTTGCCTTCGGTCTATAAGTTATGTGTGGAAGCCGGGCTGTAGTCAGTCGGGCCAATAGAGAACCGGGTACCCGGTTAGCTTTTTCGTCACGCTCACGACGCGTCGTAATTTCCGAAAAATCCGAGCACTCCCGAACGAGCGACACGTTCCTTTTATTTTCGCCACTTTTTTCCGTTGGCGAATAATTACGGAGCACTTTTTCGTAGTGGCGCGTTGCTTTTTGGGAACAAGTGCACGCACGCGCGGGCGCGCGCGCGCGCGTTACCCGTTGTTAACATTGCCGACGCATGTTGACACTGTTTCGTAAGCGAAAAGCATTCACGTTTTTCTTCCTGTTTTCGGATGCAAATCGATGTACTCTGCCAGAAACATTGGAAGTACTATATGTATACACTTACGATAGTTTTGTTTTTGAATATTTTCCACCGGAAATTTGGATTTTCGATTAGTATGATCAAATAAAAAGAATAAAATTTATAAACTTGATATTATATACATTCTATATATACATTTTATTTAGAAACGATGGAACTTAATTTGTTAGATAACATATGAAATAATAAAATATAGTCGTGAGAAATAAATACTAACGGGTTTATAAGATATTCTGAAAGTTAGATTAGTTCTGTCTAAGTACAGTTCTATAAATCTCATATAAGATTAATTTCTATGACTGTTTTGTCGTAGATAAAGTATAAGTTGATAGAAACGAGGAAATTTACTGTACTAATTAGATTAGCTTACTTTAATCTATTAGTTTGAGTTAGTTCATTAGGAATACAATTTATTGTCCTATTTCACAAGTGCATTTTGGGAAAAATATGATATTGGAGTAAAATGTATAACCATTTAACAGGCTAAACTTTAGTTATTTCTTATGACTGAAAATGAATATTTCTTGGATTTTACGTGATCAATAACTTTGCTATATTAAGAGAGTCTTATATACCCAATAAATATCGTTTATTGCCAATAAACAAGAGATAGGAAGAAGATTTTTCGGATACGTCACCTGTGCTTTACGAGTTACCGTCGAAACTGAACGTCATGGCTAGTAGAAAGTGAGCATGAAGAGCAGTGCATAGGTGCACAAAAGTACAATGTAATATCTGTGCTTTTTTCAATTTGTTCGTTTCACCGCGACGTCTGCAAACTCCAGTTAATGAGATGGAAAGCTTGAAAGCTTTTTAGGATCCGCACGTAGTTTCCCAATTCGTTTTAAAAATATTTTTATCTGTCCACTCGAAAGCACTAAATCTTATTTTTGTATTTTGGAAAAGTACTTCCACGAGCTTCTTTAATATCGCGGGAAAGCTACGTGGAAGTTTCCTATCTCGCTTCAATAACGCTGTATCTACGACAAATTCATCTTGATGGATTTACGATTGTTAAAAGAAAACAAAGGTGGGTCATCAGTGTGTTTCTTCTTCGGGCTTTCTCTCGAGACTCTGTTACAGGTATTAATGTGAAGGAAGTATAGTTTCCACGGCTGATATTGCCGGACCGTGTGGCGGAGAAAGTTTTCTGGGACGCGAAAAATCGAGACTGATACGACTTTTATACCCTCGATTGTATCGCTGCTGTCCGGGTAACCTAGCCCATTATATCAACAGAGACGACCTTTATTAACGGCCAATAAACATAACGAAAAAAGGCCTTACGTGTCGCTCCGTAAAAGCTTAGTCCACGAAATTTCCCCTTTCTTTCATCTCTTCTCACTCTGTCTTATATTTCTAATTCATTTATATTTATACATTCATTTCTTATTGAAGTTATTATAAGATAATCGATTAAATTCTTTCATTCATAAAATAATCTCGCAGTAAGAATGAATGGAGAATGAAGCCAACATACCACGCTTTTACGAATATATACATTTTAATGAAACTAACAGCAAAATATTTAATGTATTGGAATAAATAAAGTACTGGCCTTACACAATGCAATGACTACAAATGGTAAATCTACCCTGCCTGAACATATTTCGTGGATACACAGTCCATAAATTTTTTGTCATGCTCATTCGTTTTAGTTTATACATATTGAAGTAGATCAATATGAATGAGAAGATGTAACTAGAGACTTCCATTTGTATCTGTGTCTAGTTAAACATTCACTTCCACTAATGCATATCGATTTAAACATTATGGACTGGACCTTTCGATATTCTATAAATATCTTATACATGTACATCCAACTATTTCACATTCTATCATGAAATAAATAATGTCTAGTGAGTAACCTGCGGATTTTTATGTGAATATACATATTTTTGATAGTATGTCAGATAGAGAAATATATTTCAGATCAATATTTCTTATATCATGTAAGCGCTTACAGTTGATATTCTATTGAACTTAACGAGTTAACTACCATAAAAAAATCTACAAAAAACATGTTTTAAATTTTTATTACAGAGTCGAATAAAAAATTCAAAAAATTGTGCTCTTTACTTTTTTCTTCGTAAATCCGATCTATAGCAATTTTTTTGCTATACATCATATATTAAACTAATCTCCCTAACGCCTAATGAAGAAATGATTCTTTCAGTCCAATATTAAAAGAGTTATTTAACTTAAAAATGTGTACTAATATTTGTGGACTTCATTGTAAGTAGGAAAGATACATCATTCTGAGAGTTACCTAGAGGTCTTTTGCAAATGGAGATTCTTAGCACGTTTTGCTGAATGTATAGTGTAGATATAATTGAATAAGTTATTATGAGAAGTTATAGAAACAAGTTATAGAGCGAAGTTTGAAACAAATTTCTTATATAACAAAATCTGAACCAAATCTGTTATATAATAATGGTTTGTTACGTAGTGTACAAGCTGCTTAAGACCTTTGGGAAGTGTAGTGGCTGCAATCTTCATGATCATCCCCTAACGGTGTTCTTTCGACTTGTCTCCTCCTCTATCGCGTTCCTTCCACTCGGGTGTATCTCGAACGTACGTGGCTGTTTTTCCGTCTGGCAGATAGCTGTATTCCGTGTCCGGGGCTGGTCACCGGATCCATTTAGATAATTTCATCGAAAGGGAGACACAACAAGGGAAGTCTATTCCCTTTACTGATGTCGGGGGTGTTTCTGAACGATTTGTTGCGCGGTCGATGACACGCATTTACAAGAAGAATGACTCGTGAGTTTCAGAAAACTTTTTCCTGATAAGATCAATCGGGAACTGTATACAAGCTGAACGTTGGTGGATAATCGTCGAATATCATTTGGCACCTGATTATTTTTGTTAGACAGAGCCTTGAAAACTGGTTGATTTTCATACCTTGTTTGATAAGTTAACCATTTCTAAACAACTCGTTATTGATTTTTACTCTAACTTTTAATAATATATAAAAGAATCGCAAAATCTTAAAAAAATTACATGAGAATTGAGTGAAAGAATTAAATAAAATAAAAACATCAAATATTAATAGATAAGTAGATCTACAGATCGTAGCTACTCTTTATTTATTCCTTGGTTTGTCCTTGTCATTATGTTATAAAAATCGAACTTTAGTCATTCGATATCTCACTTAGTATTAACATTAATCATTCAGAAAAAATAAAAAGATTGAATCTAAATTAATACTTGTTCTCACAATCAACAGAACTAATTTCTATATAATATTATATATCAAGTATCTAATTCTAATCTAAGTCATTCTCTTGTAAAATCTGACAAAGCATATTAAAAAAGCAGAGAACAAAGCATATTGAAAAATATAAAAGATTATCCTCATTGTGAGGATCTCCAATGTGAATGTAAAAACATTTTTGTCCTCAGAAATTTGCATTGTATATAGAATTCCAAATCCAAATTTAAATCATTTTTTCCTACAATGTAATAAACAGAGCATATAAAAGTAAGGTATAAATCATTGCTACAAATTCGTATTCATTCTGAATTTAAAACCACTTTTATTCCATTTTCCGCTGAACATTCGATTTACTGGAAAATTGGATCGCTCCGAGCATTTGATTAAGTCAATTACTTAACAGCATTGTATTAGTTTGCGCCTATAGGCATCGCGCAATATCGCACCTGGTGCGGAGTAGAGTACTTGAGGTGTGTACAAGGCACAAAGGCTGACCTGAGCAAATCTTGGCGAACACAAACTTCGTATCTGCCGTCTGGGCAAATTTCGCACCAGCTGCGCCGCGTTGGCTATTTACTTGTCCAATTTAGAATCAACGTGCACAAAATATTTATTCCCCTTTTTAAAATGTACATATACTTCCCGTTCAGAAGTCTCCAAAACTCTTCTCAGTGCTTGTCTGTAAGGAAATCTAGTAAACATTCCATACAGTAATCAATGATGACTATGAATACAACTAATTATATTTCATAATTCATCATAATTACTAGATTGCGAATGTTTATGCATTTACCGGAAATTGAAATAATTTAAAAAAACACAGTATTCAGTAATATGCAAGAGAAATACGGAAAATCCAAAGTAAAATACAATTTATAAGATTTAGAGGAGAAAACAAATGTTTACATTCATTTCCTTCATTTTATATACAAAAATTGGAATTTGCATAAACATATTATTCATAGCCATACACTAGGTCACACAATAAATTATTAATAGTAATAAAACGATGTTCCAAAAATGTAATAAATTCAGTTGACAATGAACATTATTTTTATATTTGAATTTATTTGAATAATAAAAGGAATACATTTCTAGAATTAAATTAAAGGAATCGTTCATGTGTGAGTGTAAGAATTATTTCAAGTATTGATTATTCTGAAAAATTGACAGATAATATCTTATTCTCGTTTTACAGAATAATTCATTGTCATAGTTCAGTTCAGAATTAATATTTGTAGACTGGTCATGTAGATAAGATCATGCTTCTGAAGGCTTTATACAAACTATTCGAGGGTTAACGTCTCCGAGCAAATCGGTCGATCGGCTCCGATAGCCAATGTGCTAGTAATACCTTGC